TTTGAGTGAAAGTGATTTTTGGAGGCGCGCAGGGCTTCTCGATAAGTCCTCGGATCTCGCAACTCTGCTGAAGGCGTCGTCTCCTTGGAAACGACAAGTACACAGAAGGGAACCACGTGGTTCGCGTGCCTCATTCTCAGGCTATTCGCGCCTTGGGGCCTTATCGCCGCAGTGCTTGTCTCGTTACTTCAGTCGGACCTCGGTTTCATTCTCGGTAGATAGTCTATATCTTTAACCCTCGGTGAAATGGTGTGGTTGCCTACGTACGTGGTCCCAGTTTAACGTTGGACATAACGTTAGCGCCACAGAATTATAGACCTTCAAATCTACGTCTGCGAACCCTGTTACCAATCACAGATTGTAACGGCTATCATTTGCTATCTGATCGAGAGGTAGGCCTCTGCATGCTTCCTTTTTTTTTATAGGCCTGTAACTTTAGGGCTACTATGTGTAGCTTTTGGAGGAAGTCTACTAGGCCTCCTGTTCCCACCCAGTTTTAAATCCCGGCTGGAAACAGCTATAATTTCTAACTGGACTCCAGCTGTAAATTCGGACCCATTCCAACTGGGTTACAGCTGGAAAGTACTAATCTCCAGATTTGTTCCTAATTGCTGTATCACTAGCTAAATGAGAATCTTTTTGTTGACTATTTTTTTCAGAGGTTCATCAACAAGAACAGCTGATTTTCAATTGTAAATGTAGCTACATTCCTGGTGTAGGGTCCTCTTTATAAAATGTCCACTGGAAAATTTCCAGCTGGAAACAGCTATTAAAACCAGCTGCATTCCAGTTGGAAAATTCCAGCTAAGAAACAACTGGTACCTACTCTTTTCCAGCTCTTAGCCAGCTGGAAAGGGTCCAAATTTACTATTTGGTCCAGCTGGAATATTCCAATCATGAAATGGTACTCATGCTTCATCCAAGTAGCCCTTAGGGGCTCCCAACATAAGGCTCATTTAGGTGAGAAATTTTCTGCAGTAGGAGTACTCCTAGGATCTGCCTTAGGATTCCACCTGTTCTTGGTTTTCATTAAAATGACTTCTCATTTTTGCCCAATAATTACTTTCATGTTATTAGCAGATGACAGAAATGTTTGCATAATCTAATTCTGTAAACCTAATTCTGAAAATTTCTGTAACTTTTTCAAAATTTACAGATGGAACCAGTTCATGTTTCCTGCTGGAATTTTTTTTAAATTGGGGAATCATAAGAGTTCTGATGAACTCAAGAGCAGCCTTTCAATAAATCATTTCAGGTCTTCATTACAAGCTGATGGGTTGCAACTTAATTGATTTAAAAAAAATAGTATTTTTCATATCTACTATTTCACATCATTCTAAAATTGTTTATGACTCTTGACAGGATTTCCTCAAACACTTGTCTGAATCAACTATAACCTAACCATTTTCTTCTATTGACATTTTACAAGCTATTTTGGTACCCCTTCTTCCTCCCCTCACCCCTCCAAACATGTATTCCCTGTTTTACTCATGTCATTCCTGCTTTTGACAACTTTATAGGCTTTGCCTAATTGTATAGGCAAACAATTGGTGTGACTGCTAGATAGCAGTAGTCTTGGCATAGTAGGGAGGATTAAAGGAGGGAAGGGTGGAAATGGGAGCTCTATAACATGACCATATCATAGGTGGCTCAAAGAAGTGATCTTGATCAAGTAGAAGTGTGGACAAACAACTGGATTCATGAAAGGGCCTTCTTTGCTCACTCACCTAATAATCCTCTTACCATTGAATCAAATAAAAAATGTTTCAGATGTGTGGTATTTTTTTTACTAATACAGATAGAAATGTGATAGCATCAATAGCATGATGGATGTTGGAATAGACAGCAATGATGGAAGCACGAGCATCTGGATCACTGTGGGAAGGACTTGGCCATAAAAAAGAATCCCTTCAAATAATGGGGAGTGAACATGCCTGCATCTCTTTGGAAGGAAATATGATGCATTTCATGCCACTATGCATGGGACTATATTCTGCAGGTGATGGATGGGGAAGGTTCCTAAACAGGACCTGGTCTTTGTTTTCTCCCCTCCCCCCATTGAGCATGTTACATAATGGCATTGTTTGGTGCAAATGTGTTAGGAATCAGATGAATCCCTCCTGTGTCTCTTTCCACTTAAGACATGGGAACAACCACTTGACTTCCCTCATTCCCAGGATTCAATTCACAGTTTTCACACTGTAATCACTTAATTCAATTTCAATAGATAGACATTCAAAGAAGCCACTTTTTCTTAATACTGAGTTTTAGACAATATTGGCATCCCTACCATCAAACCTAAGCCTCTGGGTTTCTTTACTTTTGTTTCATGTTTCTTTTCCTCTGATTCCATGGCAAAAGACTATGAGAGCTGTGAGACATATTTCTTGAAATCATGGGTCTCTTAAAAATTAAAAACAGCTATGACCATATACCCAGGTAACACAGAACATTGAATCAACATTGATTGGATGTGGATTGAGTGTGCGAATGTTGAGGGTTGAAGGTGAACATTGTTTCAATGTTGTCACATCACATTGTGGATTCCAATTGAGGAATATTTGGATTACATTTCTTAGATGTGGCGTCATTGTTAACCCCTCTTAAAATGATGAAGAGTTGGACCTCTCCAATAGGTTTTCGAAGTACTATCAACCTACCACAACATGGTTTCAATGTTGAAAAAATGAGACTCCAACTATTGAGTTGCTGCCATCTATTATCATGTATTTGAATATTGAATATCTTTTTAGTTTGGAAACAAATATATAAACCATTTCCAATTATCCTATGGTCATGGCCAAGTCGTCTTGCATCCTTTTATGGACATTATGTTACCAGGGTAGTGTGTTCTAGGCACGATCAAAATGAAGTACGAAGAGCCCTCACTAGATGGTATCCATGTTCCTCTGTAGCCTCCTAATGCAATTATGGATCTGTCACCTTCCATTAATGCGTTTTCTTCCCACTTTCCCCTTTTTATTACATAATTAATGAACACATATATTAGAGAAATGTGGAATTAAGATGTTCTGATTGCATCATCTGATTCTGAAACAAATTAAATATCCAGGTTTAGTGTGGGCGCATGGAAGTCTAGGTGGTTAGAGACATGTAGAGCACACATAGATATAACCTGAAGTGATCCATTCGCAAATCCTCGAAACGAAAAGGTGAGGGAATTTATCCTCGCTTTGCAAGCCGTTCGGGCACACAAGGTTTTGGTGCTGTTTGCAGAACTGAATAGGACCCATTCTCTCAAACTTCTCTGTACTCTGTGGGTACTGACCTATAGAAACTAAAGAGGATTTATCCTCTTTATTATATATAGTTCATCATCCATAGGGCATGCGACTCATTTTGATGAATTTCCCTCTACTTAGATCCATGGAGGAACCTAATTACCAGGGACTCATTGAGGAATGCTGATGCAAGGTGGAAATCATATTGAATGAATGTTGCCATCAATATTGTTTCAACATTAACAAGGAATGTTGAAACAATGTCGACAAAAATGACATCTTCACATTGAATCAATGTGGTACCTCAATGTTGTTTCAGCATTATAAATGTTGTTTCAATGTTGTTTCCACATGGATGTGTTACCTGGGTAGCTGGGGCACTGCGCATATGCATAGCCTTCAAGGACCCGATTGATAGGCGGACATTGTAGTGTGTGAGTTGTTCTATGTTTTCTCGTTTTGGGAAAGATTCAATTTGAGGCTAATACAGGGTGTGTCAGAGAAGACTTCACACACTTGAAATTTACAAAAGAAACCTGTATCCTGATCATTCTCCAATTTTGAGTATGTTATTATTCTGCAAGGTTTTAAGTTTTATCCGCCATAGAAAAATTCGAAGAAGCTTATCGCACGAAGATTGTGGAACTGTTTTCTGCAATATTCTGTACGTCAATTTAGTGCTCTTTCCAGCTTCCTGCAAGACTCCTAACTCACGTCGAAACGCACAATGCTTTCACAATGGAGCCTGCTGCGAGAGACAGTTCCTCAATCCTTGTACGATAAGTTACTCTCATTTTTCCATCGCAGATAAAACTCGAACCATGCAGAATATTAACCAAAAATTTTTGAGAATTATCAGCAAACAAGTTTCTTTAGTAAATTTTAAAGTCAAATGTGTCGGTCTTCTCTGAACCATCCTATATTTGTCTCCGCTGCCTCGCTCCGGTTGAAAGAGGGGAGAAAACCGTTTTTTTTACGTCAGTTTTACCGTCCCAATTTTACCTCAGGTAGAAGTTTTTTTTTAAGGGTTGTAGTTCAAGTACTGACTCAAGTAGGGACATGCTACCTGGTGCACACAGCTGCTAGGAAAACGATGATTTTCCGACAATTGCTTCTTAGATGGGGTTTTTCCCAAGTGGAGGCACTTCATTTGTCCAAGTGGCGAGCAGCTATTGGCACAAGCGGGAACTTTGCAGGGGGTGGATGTGCTAATCAAGCACCCACCAGAAATCCGTGTTATTGGATGAGTTGGATTAAGTTCACAAATTCACCAGGGGCGTCAAAACTTGGCTGGATGTATGAAGCAATAATGGATACCACCCTCAATTTTACTTAGTGTAAATGTCTTCCGTTTCGGCGTCATTTTGGACGCTAGGAATTAACCCTTCTGGAACCCTTGGTGGGGAGGCATGGGAGTCTCTTTGCTCAGGGCGCCGAAATAGCTAGGGCTGGCTCTGCCACCAGCAGCACAAGAAGCAGTGGCTTTGGAAAATTTCACTCCAATATCCCTTTGGTGCGACACGATTTTAGATTTGGCCTTTTTGTTTTGCAAAATACTTCTACCATGCTCTTCATTCGATCGACTACTTTTTGATGCGGCATGATTACCCCTAGACAAATTCACCTAGCACAGCAATGCTCTGAACTTGTCTTCATGACCATGACAGGACAAGGGCAGATGGGGATCCCAGACACGGATAACAGATAAAGGAATTTTATTCATAATAAACTTAACTCCTACAAGAAAAACGTAAATTTGCACTCAGTTTTAGCTTTAGATTCCATCGATATCAGAATTTGGCAAAGATAAAGGTCCTAAATTCATAAACCAAGCAGTCATTCTTGTTGGTAGTTAACCAACAAGAATGACTGCTATGTTGGTGGATCGTCAGGTGGAGGGGGCCGGTGGGCCAAGGACGAGTTCTCTGGCAGAAGAGAGGAGACAGGAGAGCTCACGGGACAGAGGCTCCACGTTGCATCCCATCCACTCCGCCTCTGCCTTCACGTACTGTTTCAGGCTCTCTCCGAGCGACTTCCTCGTCTTCTCCAGGCTCTCGTTCAGCCTTCAAGTTCCACACAGGAAAGAGTGTCAGTGGGAGGTGGAATGCATGTTTTGTCTCTATCTCGATTGCATCCATCGTTCCCGCGAACAGTTACGTTTTTGCAAGAGCTCCGATGAGGATCCCAACTGGGAGGAATTTATGCGAACCTTTGATGCCCTAAAACAGTCTAGCCTTACCGTCATCAGAAGAATACGAAACCCCACTATACTTTATGATGAATGCATTACAATAATGTCTTGTGCATACATTAAAGCAAAAAAATTATCCAGAATATCTTGCTTAAGTGAGCGATTCATGAGTACATGGAAGAAATATATCTACGAAAAAGAGAGTCATTTTGCAGCATCTTACCAATATACGCATTTTGTCCCTTGCGTGAAAGGGAAAGGTAAATGTTCAATGATAACAAGCAAAAAGAAAAACCTGTACTGATAACCAGGGCTCCGTTACGAATTTGATTTCGTTTCGTAGGAAACCCCGAGTATTTTTGTGCTCATGTCCTGATTTCATTTCAGTTACGATTCTGCTTCCATTACGTTATAATTGTTCCTTCTGTATTATTAGAAATGGAAGTACTTCATCTCGCAAACCAAAACTCAGAATGGGTATATTCTACGTCAAATCACTCCCCAAGAAGGATGTCATCGATAGATGTCCCTTCAACGCAAGAAACTCAAAACGAACTGAAGCCGTGAGAAAAGTAATTTGCGTTGTGGGGATGGCCAAGGCACACTGGGATTTTCCTAACCCTTTAATGCATGGTGTAGCAAATCGGCTACATCCCAAAACAAAAATATTAGAACAATAAGCAACAACGATAAAATGCAACAATGCAACAATAAGTGCAGCAAAAATGTTTGGGCCTTCAACTTACAAATTTGAGAAATGAAAAATTTTCCCTCATTTTCTCATGTTCTAAGATTTAAATGAAAAACACTAGATTTTATTTAGATGAGGTAGTTTCGCAAAAAAAAGAAATCATGCATTAACCCTTTAAATTAAATTTTTAATTTTTGGATTTTATTGTTTATTGCTCTAATATTTTTTGGTTCTGAATGTAGCAGACCTGCTACACCATGCATTAAAGGGTTAAATCGATGGAGACACTCCTTGTTTCTGCTGCATTCTGTCATTGTATATATGTACCCAAGTTGGTACTCCAGCTAATCTTAAAATAATTTGCCAATTGGGAGTTTGATGGTCCGCTATTTTGTTTGTTTCTCAAGATTCCCTTTATTGTTTCTGTTTCGTTAGAGCATTAAATTGCTTTTCTCGTTCCGATTCTGCAAGAATTGAAATATTAGCAAAATAAGATCTGATACAGCTTGTGCCAAAAAAATCATCGTGAAAAATGAAAAATTGTCTCAATTAGAAAAGACATGGTCTGCCACCTATATTTCTGGAACCTAATGAAATTAGCAAGCATTATCCTTGGCCATGTAGGAGCACTGCCAAGCAATGGCACCGAGTTCCTTTTGGTCTTCAAAATGAATGAATTGACAACAGACAACTGTAGAATGAGGCTGAAAATGGTAGTGGTCACTATTGGAATTCATGAGGTGGTTCATCTGGCAAACCTACACCTCCTACCCTTCAATCACGGAAGCCCCTCCTCACTAAAATGAGATCCACTGCTGGACTTGGTTTATCTGGCTTGTGAAAAGGGCTAGGGATTAGGAAGCAGATTTTTATGCAAATGCATATATTTTTCTGCTGTCTTGAAGAAACCTGCAAAACAGAGAGCATCATGTACCATCTGTTAAAGTGATTTCTGTCATTTTAAAAATGTATATTTCTTCCATTTTCTTCAGAAAAGAAATAAAAATGTGCTTTCTTTATGATCATTCTATGGGAAATGTAAGCAGTCATGTGCTGTGTGACCAGTGGCACAGCAAAGGGCAGACTGAGGAGGGGAAAGCCCCCCCCCCATGAGAAGTTTGGAAAATTCTAGCTCCTGTCCAATACCCTTAACCTCCCTTTTAGCAATTCCTGGCTATGCCTCTGGCTGTGACAAGAATAGATCACCTATGCCCAGTAGGCACCTGCTTAAAACCCAGATATTCCTAGTATCCCATATGTAGGACAGAGAACATAGTGGCATATTTTAATTTCTGGAAAAAGTTAGACTCATCGTAGCTGGATGGCTCTTGCATCGCTGAAATCAGCATTAATTACTTGTCCATTTTATCAGCCAGGAGTGGGATCCAAGCACTTGCCTTGCTGTGGAAACGAGAGTAAATTCCAGACATCCTCATGCCGCAACAATGAAATGGTAGGTTTTTATGCTATAATAACTTAAGTACCAACCTATTTGTGATGCTAAGATATGTGAGTATTATATTACAGAGAAGTTTTAAAAATGAAATCTTGTTTTTAGGGGCTGATGTTGACAAGTTTTTGTCCATGTCCTATACATATGATGCCAGAAACATTCATTACTGTTTTTTTTTGTTCGAAATTTTGTGTTTATTGTTTTTACTGCAATAACTCGGTACTTTTTGCCCTATTCACCCAAAATTTCAAAAAATCTAAAATAATTTCATGAGGTCTGACTCAGTTTATCCCCTCCTTCTAGTCCTCCCATGAAAGGAACATGATTTCATTCAAGTACTACATAGTGTTATTAGTTATTCAAGAACTTACACTATTCTTTCAATAGAAATTTCCATAAACTGCTAATAATATATTTTAGCCCCTCATTTTTGAAAATGAAGTCTGATGCTGAACATAGTTTATGGAAGCTTGTGCAAATTTACATTTTTTTAAACCAGAATAAAAATTGCACAAGAAAATTGTCTTAAATGAAATAAAGCATGTGAAAATTCCTAATGTCCTAAATATAAGATGCCCCATATATTCAATACTAATGACCATATTTTGAAAAAATATTTTGTAATAATCAGGAGGCCAAAATTATTATGGTAAATTTTGAAGGAAAATAAATAAATAGAAAAATAAAAAAATTCAGGCACATCCAGGTTAATCTCCAAGCTTCTCCTTACAAGCAGGGAAGCTTGGCGATATTATGTATATTGTAGTTCCTTCTTCCATTCTGCATTTTAAGAAGCAAGTTTTTCCAAGTTTTCCCACTTTTTTTCATATTTTGACAATAAGTGCATTTGTAGATGCATATTTTAAGACTTATTATGGCATAAATATCTGCTCCCTAACTGGGTTTTACATCATTCTCATGATGTTAAGATTGAGAAGTAATGGAATTTAGTATGGAAAGTGCAGTTTTTCGATACATCTTTAGATGATCATGATGCTACAAGTACTTTGTAAATCCCCATCCAGTTAAGGTGGAACTGGGACGTACTCAGTGAGTTGATGGAGGATCAGCTCCACATGTCGGGGATTGATGAACTTCCTTTGAACGTTGTAATCATGAAACCAACCACGGAACCTAGGGGTAGAAGGGAGAAACAAGTTCCTCCCACTTGCATTCTCCCAAGAGAGAGAGGCTGGATTTTGATACTTACACCATGGTGGCCTTGAGTTCAAGGGTTCGATGGTGAACACCAGCCAAGTGCAGAACAGCCAGGTAGATTTCACTTCCAGGGAATGACTCCTCCTGATTCAGATCTTCTACTCTGGAATCCAAGTTGAGCCAGTCCAATCTCTTACATTACTTCTCACCACAATTGCATGCACTTCAAGAGAAAAAAATATCAGAATATGACATTGCACAGAATTAATCAAGAAGTTGCCTTGCATTCAAGTATCTGCTCTTTAAGTTACATAACAAGTTCTACAAGTGACACTCCTCCCTCCACACATGCTGAAAAATTAGGTGAGAAATTCAAGGCATTCACTTTGAATGCACCCACATCACATGCCTGGGAAGAGGATCAAGTGGGATGACTTCACGAAAGCCAAGACTCCGGGAGACAGAGGAATGAAGCCATTCTGAGAATGAACCCTGCTGAAGTGTTCCAAGGCACAGGGCTAGGCTTGGTAATCCCACAGGCAACAGTTCACATAGCACTGCATAATGGTCATATCTGCACTCCACACCAAAAACAAACAAAAAATCACAAGTAATTTCAATGCTTTCACATCAGCAATGACCAAACATTTACAAACATTCTTCTTCATCATGCTATCATGATTGTCAATTGATGAACTTTATCATAGAATTTGAGAGAGAATGTCAAATGTAAGGAGTTCTAAGCATTCTATCATTCTTGGTGCTGAAAACAGAATTGGCTTCATCCCAGGAGTTGGAATTTCCTCTGTATCTATAGTGGATGGTAGATGCCATCAGTCCAGGAATGGAAAGTTCTTCAAGTTCAATAAAACCTACACACTTGGTCTGACTGAGCCTTCATGGATCATTCTTGAAAATGCAGCTACTACAATCTCATCAAGCCATCAAACTAACATCATCACCATAGTCAAGAACTAGGACCTGTTCAGACTTTCAATGAATCCATTTAATCCTGATTACAAAATGATCAAATTGCTTCATCATATATCCTCCCACTGACTGCCTAGGCAATATGGTGGATGAAGCCACATCAAGAACAGGAATCTAAAGACTTTCTACAGAGCACCATCTTCCCAATCCAACCAAGACAATTTGGGCTCAAGTGAGGTCCTTCATGGTAAAATGAATACCAACTTTAAAATGCAAAATGTGATGCCACTCTCTCACCAAGCTCATGAAAACATGGAACCAAAAGACTGAAGAAAGGAAGTGGACCATGTTCTGAGGGTGGAGGTAAAATCCTAGGAAGATAATAATAATATCACTTGTGTCATTCACCAACAATCATTGCCAACAATAACCAAGACAAAGATTATAATGAAGTTATGATGAAGACCAGGATGAAGATGTGACCAAAAAAGGAAGCATGAACATCATGAGACTTAGTATCGTCCTACTGAATCTCCAGAATTGACTAGTTGAGGTGACAGCTTTCATTGATCCAGTGTAGGCCATTCATAGACCTCATTCACATCTAAACAAAGGATTAGATGGTTGCTTTAAACAAATCACAGGGAAATTAGACATGAAGACTTTTCATTATGCACTATTACTGAGGGAATAGAAAGGACAGGATGAGTAGGGAGTGCACAAGGAACTGTATTCATGAGATTAACTAGACTGCATTCATTGAAGTTCAGTAGACTCTTCCATATAACCCATTCAAAGAAATCAAACTATCGACATTATAAAACTACTATCAACATGAAATGACCAATAAGTATTGGAAACCTTTTCAAAGGGAAGCCACATGAAACAGAGCCAAGAACATCAATCTTACTCTTGCAACTTAGCATATGTGCACATCTTGATCTTGGACCATTGAAGAAGTGTACTACAGTGGTACCTCGCATAACGAACGCAATTCGTTCCAGTGGTGCGTTCGTTATGTGAGGTGTTTCTTTATACGAAACATGATTTCCCATAGACTTCTATGGGAAATCATGTAATCCGTTCCACGTCGCCGCGAAAAATCAAGGAAAATAGGAAAAAATGTTTCACTTTCACTCGCGAACACCTCACATAATGAACGCACCGCTGGAACGAAATACGAAACATGATTTCCCATAGACTTCTATGGGAAATCATGTAATCCGTTCCACGTCGCCGCGAAAAATCAAGGAAATTAGGAAAAAATGTTTCACTTTCACTCGCGAACACCTCACATAATGAACGCACCGCTGGAACGAATTGCGTTCGTTATGCTAGGTACCACTGTATTTTCCCCTACTATATTAATTCCCTATGAAAGAAAGCTTTTTCTGCTTTATCCTTCAGTAATACTTAGCATTGGAGCTGGTGATGCAGTATCTTCATCAAAAGTTTTGGCAATGTTTGGTTGAAATCCAAAAGAGTGCCAATCAATAGTAGCAAAAGGAAATACCTTTATTCATCTTTACAAGTGCTATCACTGTCCTTTGATTACCAGCTCTCTTTCTGAATTTCATTAATGACCTCTTTCACAACTTTACTCTGTAAAAGAATTGAAAATATTTTTATGCTGTGGCTTTCTTTGTGCACTTGTGTATGTTTTGTTTCCCACAATAGATTGGTGATGAACTGAATCATGGGAATAAAACCTCTTATTATTATAATTGATGCACCACAGCAGGAATCACTCCAAGGTCACTTAGTAATGCTATGATATGATAGATAGAACAATGGATAATTACTTTGCTTTGATATATCAAGCACCAGTACAGGATATACATTATTGAGAAAAGAAATTCACTGAAAAATTGCTGCATTTGAACCTTCATTGAGATCAATACTATAAAAAAAAAGGTAATACCTTTTGGGTAGAAACCATTATGGCACTCCCAATAAATTGCAATTTCTGATGCAAAAAAAATCCAGAAGGCTGAGACCTTCAAGGCCTATCCATGTCCAGAGTAATTTGCATCTGAATCAGAACAATAAACAGAACATGGCATCTCATAATTCAATCACAAAGCATTAAACATCAGAGAGGAGCTTTTTTGAGCCTTTGACTCCAAATTTTTTGTAGACTACTGGCACCTACCAAGGCAAAGGGCTGGGTTGATATACAAAACCAGGTATATATGTCAGCTTCACCTCACTGAATCATGCAGTACTTAAAATATATACTGGGTGGCCCAAAAAAAAAAGTCCTGAACTTCCTGCATCAGCAGATGGGACACCATGCTTAGCATTGCCTTGAAATTTTCAGTGTGTCATACCCAATATATCTTGGTGCTTTCAGGAAAATTTCAATGAAATTCCATGCTCTGAACATGAGTAAGAGCTCTTGCCATACAAGTCATCAAATGAGCAAGTGTGTCAGTGCATTTGCCAGTGTGCTGCCTCAGTGGGTAATTGTCGAAGGACACATCCATGGAGGACCCATCAAACATTTCTTTCATTGAGGTCAGGCACATTTCTTTGCACACTCGCTCTTTTGACATAGCGTGGGAGAAAAATTGTTACTCATGTAGTTTATTACCGATTTCAATTAAATTTTTGTTACATCTTACCTGCAAACATTGCATGTAAAAGCCTGTAAATTTCCCATTGATAACTCATATGGTACACTGTCTGCAGGTGTGTAAAGTTTGGGAATTTTTTTTGGGCCACCTGGTATTTTAAAGAGGCATGTCATTTACAACAATCAAATCGATTCAGATGGCACTGAGTTTGGCTACTACAGCAGTATGGAGAATACACAGATGAGAATATGGTAGTGGAGGAATTATGCCAGATGGCTGACCTGGACCATCCAGTGAGAGCTAGGCCTTGAAATGTGAAAGAGGAGAATGCAGTTTCACTTTGGAGGAGTTGCATCCAAGCTTCATGGTTGTGAATATGCATGTTGACATTGGGAAGGAGGGCATCCACTCCTGATGCTCCTTTCCATGCAGTCCCCACCCATATTTTCCCAAATGTCTTCCCATATCTTTCCCACATTCCTGAAAATCACAAGATGCACAATGCAAGTGAAGCACTATCAGGGATGAATCAAGTCAAAATGATGCAAGAGAATTTTTAGGAACCTGGAGGGAAGTTGAGGGTTTCTCCATATGACCAAACCATGATCTCAACACACTCACTCAAGCCACTCTCTACAATTCAGGGAAGACAAAAAGCAGTGATGATGCAGCATTTGTGATAGCAATTGCCTTCTTAATAGATTTGTTAGGTCATTCTTACAGAGAAAGCAGGGCCCTCGCTTACAAAATACTACAAGATGATATACGAGGGGTGTACCGAAAGTAATGCCTTAGGGTTGTAATATGCATAACAATAGCTCTGTGTTTATGTTCTTTGTAAGATATGTAAATTGCATCATCGTATGTCTTTTGTATCATTTTTTCACAGATCAGTGCTTGTGAACCATGGATATGAAGCTAAAACAAAGAGCTGTCATTGAGTTCCTGACAAAGGAGGGCTGCAGCGCTTCTGACATATATGCGAGGCTAACAAAGGTGTACGGTGAGCAGACAATTGACATCAGCAATGTGCGAAGGTGGGTGAAGAAGTTTACTGAAGGAGAAACAACCATCGAGGACAAACCACGAAGTGGGAGGCCATCAACTGCGGCCAGTGATGACAATTGACAACGGATGGATGACTTGATTCACGCGGACAGGCACATAACCGTCCGGGAGATCGCTGATCACTTGCATTGCGGTCGTAATGCCGTAGAAACAATCACCAGAGACTTAGGCTATCGGAAAGTGTGTGCCAAATGGGTTCCTCGTCAGCTGACATCTGATTTGAAAGCCAAGAGGGTGGACGTTTGCAGTGAGCTGTTGGCGATGTTTGAAGACCAAGAAGACATCTTTTTTTCTACTGTCGTGACAGGAGATGAGACGTGGGCATATCTGTATGATCCAGAGACTAAGAACCAGTCTATGCAGTGGCGGCACAGCACCTCACCCAGGCCTAAGAAGTTCAAAACTCAATGATCAGCACAGAAGGTTATGGTCACAGTCTTCTGGGATGACAAGGGTGTCATCCTCATGGATTTCCTGCAGCCTGGTGCGACAGTGAACAGCGCCCGCTATATAGTGACACTCAAGAAGCTTCGTGAAGCCATCAGAAAAAAGAGGCAGCAAAAAGATCTCAAATCCATCCAGCTACACCATGACAACGCCAGCCCTCACACGTCTTTTGCCACAAATCAGGCAATTGCAAAGTTTGGCTGGTCTGTGATGCCACATCCCCCTTACAGTCAGGATTGGGCACCATCGGACTTTTACCTATTCAGCCCGATGAAAAGAGTGTCCGGGGACAAAGATTCGATGACGTAGAGGACATCAAAGTCGCTTTGAAAACATGGATCAGGCACTGCTCCCCACAGTTTTTCCAAACAGGTTTCCAGTCTTGGGTTCAGAGGTGGCGCAAATGCATTGCGTGTGCAGGAGATTACTTTGAAGGGTAGTTGTGTGTACAGCAACAATGGATGTACATGCGTGTGTAACTGGAACTTTCTATTCATTATAATAAAGACATTATTACCTAACAGGCATTACTTTCGGTATGCCCCTCGTAGAATGACTTGCAGACAAGTCAGCAAATGAACCAAGTTTAACAGTACCTCACCTTTGAGAAGTTGTGGATCAGTAGTACGAATCATGTCATCCCAAATGATTGGAACAATTTTTGGCTGGATGGTCTTGATGCAATGGGCAAGACGAGTCACATGCCTCAGGAACAGCTCCTCTCGTTTCATTTCTGTCTTCTTGCAGTTTGAACAGTGCCCCATTTCCCAAACCTAGAAATGCAGTCAGTTTTCCAGGTAAGCAAGGCAAAAGCAAAATGAGGCTTGAAGCTCAGAGCACCTCACTTCATCACAGCCAATGTGAAGATAGGGACTGTCTGGGTGAAGTGTGAGGATCTGAGTAATCATGGTCTCCAACAGTGGAATGGTGTCATCACATGAGGGGCAGACTTCGCTTGGAAAACGCTCCACCTCCCTAAGATAGCTCCATTGGTTGTGCTTCAACACAAACTGTAAGTCAGAAGGAAAATTACCATATCACACCAATGGTTATAGGGAATTCAATGGTCACAAAAACAGAATCAGAGACTTCAAGATGGCCAAAGGTCTGGATGAGAGGAATGACAATAAGTTGACATCCTGAAGCTATCTGGAGCAAGGACTGAACATCTTTCTTGCTGTAGGATGATGAGCTTTGAACACCTTCTAATGGCTCCCAGTAAGGGAAGGTATCTTCATATTCCACAAGAAGACCTGTTGCTCCCCATGATGCCACTAATGGAACCACCTAGAATGGTTCAGTAATCATAGCCTGGTAACAGAATTGTCCTATAAAGTTAGCAGATAATATAAAATTCCTTGTACAGACTATCCAAAAAGGGACTTCAATCTCAAACTCTTTTAAAGGAATTTTACAACACACAAACTGAAAATATAAACAATGAATCTTGAAAGCGAGACAATCTAGCCCTTCCTTGCAGTTGTAGCAATCAGCAGGATAACCAGCATGTAGTCAACTGACATGACAGGAAGGAGCTTTTGAAAGCAGCTGAAGAACAGAAATAGCTCTTTGCATTGCTTATCTGAATCAGCTGTGACAAGATCGGCTAACTGTGGCTTACTATGCTGCCTCTGAAGGAATTATAGGGAACTACAGTATAATTAAAAAATTACTAATTATTTCTGGGCTGTTTAATCAATGAGTCATTGCATAACCAAAATCAGCTCATAGTTTTCCTGCCTAAATAAGACAAAGGGTGCAAAATTCTGAAAGGGATATGACTTGAGCATTGTGGATACCATTCCATAATCTGATTATGTGCTTAAGTTAATTAGTGGATCAGTACTTAAGTTTTCAAATGCTTAATAACTCATAGATAAGCCTGTACAAGGGAGACAACTTGGGGATCTATTTAAACCTGTTATCAATCGATACCAAAATAAATGAAATTGCAAGTCCTTAAAATCCCAGTTTATATCATAGTTCATCAATTTCTCTTAGCTCATAGTTTCAAGAATGGGCCATACCCTTAACCCTTCTCTTGTTTGCCCCAGTAAAATCCGACAAAAATGTCGGATGACATAATGGCGAATAACTCTTTGATGGGACATTGTAGGAGCTTCATATTTAGCATAGGCATGACTGGAAAGTACAATAATATGTTCTTTAAGTTTCAACTGTGTGTCTCATGAAATAACGGAACGACGAATGGGAAAACAGATAAAATTTTGAGAGCTGATGCAATAATCTCCGGATTCGAAAGCCCAATGACAGTCCATGATTGGCACTCTAAATAGAGCCATTAACTGCCCTAAATCTCTTGTGCAGGATCATTCATAAAAATGTAGAAATGCTGAATTGTAATTTTAGCAATGGTTCACAGAAATAATGGAAGCCAATATTGTCCTTTGCGAAAGGTTTCAGCCTAACATTCACCTTCCGCAATACATTTATTCACCCAGAGCAGGGGTCGGGAACCTTTTTGGCCATGTGAGCCATGTTAAGATTGAGGTAAGTGCTTGTGAGCGAAAGATTTTCAAAACAGTTTTTTTCTTCAAGTTAGCATTCCTTGATACATGAGAAAAATTAGGAACTACCATGATTTTTAGCTATAACAATGGGCCAAACTTTTCGTCTCGTGAGTCAAATTTGGCTCATGAGCCATAGGTTCCCGACCCCTGGAGGATAGCTCTGAACAAGGGATAGTTTGGAGGGAGGCCCGGGGCAGCCTCTATTGGTGGTGCCATAGGGAATTTTAAAAAGATTTCTTATTCATATACCCCAATCTGATTTTCAATCATATTGAATTCAATGTGATATTCAAGGACAGAGATCCTCTCGTACGTTGATGTGCAAAAATCCGTCCCTCTCTCTATATAGCCAATCAGTTGACGAGAAAAGCCGATTCCTGCCATTTTTTCAGTGAAACATCCGCAATGAAAACTGCTTCTATATCATTTGCATTTTGACAAATATTCTCAAGTGTTATTTGCGAAAATTTTTTGTTGTTTGCACTTTACATCAAAGCAAAAACCTTTTCAGAGAAATGTCTTACCTGGGAAAATCGGGAAATTTTTCCACGACCTTGCATCTAGAAAATCGCTCGCGAGAAAATAACCGGATAAGGGTTAATACCTTCACCAGAACAAAGACCTATTCATAGCTTTAAAAAATATCATTTTTACATCTAGTTGGGCATTAGGTAGGGTAGATCAGGTCAATTTATTGAAAAGATACATCTCCAAAATTAAGCAGTTCCTCATCTCTTGTCCCTTGTCAGCTCTTCTTTCCTCTCTTCCCCCTTTGCTTACCTTTTCGATATTTCTGTTTTTTTATTTTATTTAAATATTATTATTATGACCCACCTGCATCCATCATGATGCCAGATCAAACTAGGATTGTTAAAAAAAAAAGATTAATTCTGGGCTCTTTAATTAAAACATTGGCTGCCATGGTGATACTCATAACCTACCAATGTGCAACAGTTGAGTATCATTGGTGATATTCATGCTTTATTGATTGATTGCTTTATCGCACTTTTATGGGATCATTGTTCTCTCTCCAAATGACAAACAACTCCATATGGATACAAAGAACATCCATAAAGTGACCATAGGAAAAAAAAGACTTAATTTGTGAATTTACTTTTATGAAGTAACCATTTTGGTGTAGATTGACAATTTCTAGTCCTTAGTATGGTGTCACAGCTTTCCTCCCCCTTCTCGAGACTGAATTAACTTCTCTGTCCAGTGGTCACTTCAAATTCAATTTAAAAAAAAACTTGTCCATTATGAACACCCTGTATATGATGTGAGCATCAGGATAGTACCATATCAACTAATACAGTCAACCCTCGATATACCACCAACTCTTTCCTGAGAACGAATCTTTCCCATAGACCAACCATTGGCGCTCCCCCATTATAGCACCACCCTCGCTAGCCACCATCCACCTTCACTTGCAAAAACATGTCTTATTCTATTTAAGTATTACTCGATATTACGCCAAGGAGAATACTTTACCAGTCGCAATCATTATACTGTGTACAAAATGTAATGCTGCCAGTTGCTCCTTTCGGTCGCATGATGGATAGCAAGATTGTGAGCAATGAATTAGCGTTAGAATAGACCTCCAGAGACTAGAGAGGGGCGTATAGAGTTGCCTAATCCGGTCCAATCCCTTCTCTTCTTTTTGGAGAATGGAAATGGCTCGTTCAGATTATACACAGCTTCCACAGATGACAGTGCAAGTTTATTCACCATCCAGTGATGGGGAAATGAACGGTTTCAGTATGAAGGAAAAGTGGAAGTGTGCCGTTAGAAGGAGGCGCATGTGGTCGGAAGTCAGAAAAACCTTGCGAACAATTTTCCAGTGTTTTGGGACAATAGTGTGAGCTGACAGTAAATAGGAGTTATACTAATTAAAAATAGAAATTATTGGATTTAATAATGGATTCTTCTTCATTATTTTTCAAAGCTACGTAGTTATTGTATTCTGAGGCACGGACCATAAGCATCGTGGATTAATTAACCCTTTCAGACCTGAATTAAGGCCGCTGTCGGAACAATATCCTTTTTTGCATTTTTGAGCTCTTTCGTGATTGCAATTGAAATTTTCGTGCTTTATATGTAGTTTTCATATTTTGTATAAATTTACCATGTTATACCATATTAAACATATATTAAACATTTAATTAAATCACTGAATATTACAAAACTAATGAGTGAAAGAAGGCCTCTGATGGAATTGCGCCATGCACAATTGTAGCGTAATATGGAGCGCAAAGTCACAGAATCCTAAGAAATTGCCATTGACACAATGTAAATGCAATGTCCATTGGAATGGATGCCAGGTCTGAAAGGGTTAAAGTGAAATTTTGTGCATATTCTATAGAAATTCGGAAAAAATTTCTCAATTTTAAGCCATGCGTTTCGATGTAGCACCACCCTCGATATAGCGCCAAAATTGGCCGGAACAGTGGCGGTATGTCGAGAGTCGACTGTACAACAATTCAACAAGAAGTTTCACCTTCCCCAGTCTTCCTTCACCTTGCCACAGAGTAATATAAGGGTGATTCTATGGAATATCAACCAATGGGTAACACCAGACCAAATCCTATTTAGAAGAAATTTGGCATACAGGCTTATCCCCTAAAACCCGGATATATCGCATTTCAGTCTCATTGGACCAGTAGGTATACTGCTACAGGGTTGTCAAAATTTAAGATCACCTTCAAACCTCAAATTTTGATATCACTATGACTAAAAAAAAACTACGTATCCACTCGCAATTGAGTGAAGAATTCAAAACTATCACAACAATATCACTTGAGCAAAAAACACCCATGATATTTATTGGCTAAATTTTTGAAATTATCATGAAACCTCAAAAATAAAAATCGCGATTCCAAAATTCCATGCACAGGTCAATGTCTCAACTACTGATGTTCAAAATTGCGAAAAACTATTATTTTTTATATTCTATCAATAAATTTTTGAATCAGCAGATCCCTATCATCTGAGGCATTCCAGTTCAAGTGATCAAAAGATTGGGTGTGAGATCTGCAACGATTTTATGGAAAAAATTCAAGCATTATGAACCCCCTGAGGTATGAAAACATCCCTAATTTCAGCACTCTAGCATAAATGGTTATGAAGATATTGAGCCACAAAGTTAAAACCCACGAGGGGGGAAAAGTTACCCTATGGGTTAAAAAAAAAAAAAGAAGCTATCTTTGGCCCTAATTGTGCTAGAAACGAGTTTTTCAACCCAAATGAAAGCAAAGACAAAGCTGAGTCCGATTCCACAAATGAATTTATTAATATTCTCACTTCAATGAAGTGATAAATTCATAAACTTTTCACAGAAATCCAAGTTTTTCATTAAAATCTCTAACACAGAATCATGATAGCACAATGGGCTTTTTGCAACATTGAAAAAAAAAGCTAATAGCAATGAAAATAGCTAAATTGCAACTACTTTTTTTTAAACAATGCATATTAAACTTTTAAAAAGTTACTTTTAAAAAATATTGTAAATAGTGCTTTAATGAATTGTTTTACCATTGTATACATGCCGAAACTCTTTCCTTTTCACTATTACTGATTCAAATTAAGCCATCCAAAGCAATATGCTTACTCACTGTTCCATAATTAACATTTTCTTTTTCTTATTAAAGGTCAAATGATAAAAAGTAACATAAACATAACGGCAGTGACTATTGAATATATGGCTTAACATCTTGAAGTCATAATAAATGAATATTGTTTGATGGAAAGCAGATATTTACAAATTTCAAATAGGGATTTCATTGAAATCCTACCTGACCTAGGTTTTCTGTTACTGATTAGATAGAATACCTGAAACCTGACTCCATGAAACCTAAGCTACTTATCATATATCACTGTTGTTTGCAGCCTTAGCTGGTAGTATCCATGCATTCTCTACCTGTGGACCATGATCTCAATCATGCTTGTAATTCTATCTTTCACTCTGTGTAAAAATAGCATGAATGCAGAAAGGCAAGTGCAAGCCATGAGAAAAACTAAATTCTCCCATAATCATGAATGGATGTTTTACCAAACAGACCCTTTGAAACAATGGATTATTCCCATTCTGTCCACACTTTCATAACTTTTCATGATCAAAGACCTAACAAAAATAGCAAAATCATAGCATAATACTTATTTTATTGTTGAATGACAATGATGGAAAGAAAATGGCAATACCTCAAGTACAGCACTATGACTATAGTCATGAACAATAGCAAGGGAACAACCAGACAAGGGGTCCTAAAAGTGTCCCATGATCTCATGAAAAGTATGCTAAGACTAGGGATAATTAATAATACACCTATATAGTCAACACAAGAATGGACTCTGGTAGGCTAACCTTCTCCAAATAGGTGATTTGGGGAGGAGCTCCCTTCAGATCCAGATGCACCAATCTGTCCATAAGAGATGAAACCAGAGTTTTGGACCTCATAAAGCAAGATAAGACCTAGATGTAAGCCTCAATTGGGTACAATCACTACTAGATTCTGCAAGCAGTGTCTGACACATTTGAAGGCCATAAGGCTAATATTTTTTGTTCAGTTCTAGTCAAGGTCAAGAGAGACAGTGATCAAATAGTTGGCCAGGGCCCATCAATTATATTTGACATTTAAGTACCAATAAACATGTAAGCAACCTCTTGGTCAAGGTAGAACTTGGTAATGTAACCATTTTAGGGGTGAGCACCTGAGTTTCAGATAAATTTATACAACCATATTCATTACCTTGTAAAAGTACTCCATAAAAGGATGTGGAAGAAAGGGCAAATATTCATAGGCTTCTCATAGGCAAATTAGGAAATCTGCCTATGAGTCTGGACTTTTGAAACACCCTGTATTAAAAATCCCAGTCCTGTCTCCTGCTATGTATATGTGAATGCACTGGAGAAGTTCAATAAGTTTTTGAGACTGGGCTTATTGCAAAGGAACAGCAAGAGTTACTGCACAGTTGTTGTGTAATCTTCAAAGTAGTGACCCCAAGCTTGTTACACACTTCTGCCAATTTCTGTAAAGTTCCTCGAAGCAGGACTGGAATGGCATGACATAACTTCACATTGACATTGGGGAAATGGCAAACAATGACAAACAACATATGAAAAAACTTACATACAAAAATTGGTATTTGTTATTTTACAAATTATGCTTCTTCATGGAACACCAGATATAAAATACTGGAGTAGCATTGAAAATATTATCAGTATTACTGCTAGCGGAAGATTTTCTGTACTGTAACCTGGCAAATATGGCTACCTCTTGAAGGGGTGTCACATCAGAGAGCTGTGGTTCACTTTTTGTGCGTAGAAGGTACATGTCCATCGCAGAATGGTGCTAAATGTTTCATGGCAGACACTTCAACATTGTGGACAATCCCAACTCAAAAAGGCCAATGTCATTATCAAGAACACAAACATAAGGGGAGAACAAAGTGACACACAAGCAGATGCATGTCTCTGGATGTCATAGCCACAGAAACGGGGATTAGCCATATGCAGAAAATTGTCCATGAATGCCTTCAGTACCATTTGGTGGGTACCAAATGGATACAGAAGTGTCAAACTGATCAGAATTTTGGCATGGGTCTTAGTCATACACATATGCAGAGCTACCATGTTGAAGGAGACAGTGCTTTGACCAAAATGTGAAATATGATGAAACCTGGTGTCACCATTTTGAGCTCGAGTTCATGCCAGTATACAGTGGATGCATTCTCAGTCTCCCCTACGGAAAAATTTATGTCCAACTGTTTCAACAGGGAAAGTCTTGGTGACTGTGATCTTTGACTGTCATGTATCACAGCTGGATTTTTTGTATCACAGGAAAACAGTCAACTAAGAGTGATACTGTAACACATTGCACAATAAACCTGGTCATGCCATCAAGAGCAAGCACCCTGGACTGTTGACAAAGGGCTTCTCCAAAACAATGCACAACCTCACACTGCTAGTGCAACAGTAGTGACCATTCAAAACCTTGGTTGGGAGATCCTTGTTCCTGTGCTCTGTACAGTCCAGTCCAGCCACCATGTAATTTTCATGTATTTGGCCCTAAGAAGGGGCAATGAAGGGCAGGAGATTTTACTCAGATAGCAATCCCATACGGAAATACCATATATTTTTCAAGTTTTGAAATATGAACACATATATGAGGGCATATATGGTTGAAGCATGTGATCCATATAAGGATTATTCATACATTAAACATATTGAGGCAGCATATATATTCTATAAAAAATAATCCTGTGGTTTAATGGATGAGCTATGGCATATATAATGTATCTGGTTAAAGTACAGGGTGGTGCAAAAGTCATGCACCATAGGGGATTTCACTGTTGGACTATAGTACTTTTTTTCCAAGTAAGTGATGACTGCAAAATCAGCAAAAAAAGAGAGGGTGGAGTTTGTTTTGATGTCTGGAATGCCAGGCATGCCAAATCAATCAGTCGCTGCTAAATTTCATAGAAAACACCCAGAAAGGCCCATATTGATCAGGCAACTGGTGTTCTGGTTCTGGGTGTTTTCCATGAAATTCAGTAGCAACTGATCGATTTAGCGTGCCTGGCTGTCCAGACATTAAAACAAACTACACCCTCTCTTTTTTTGCTGATTTTGCAGTCATCACTTACTTGGAAAAAAAGTACTATAGTCCAACAGTGGAATCCTCTATGGTGCGCGACCTTTGTGTCACCCTGTATATAATTTTTTATTGGGTTCAATGAATGGCCTTATTGCCCACTATTTACATTTGCATACTATTTCTATTTCTTTCTATTCCTTTTCCCTATACCATTTTTGTGTATTGTCTTTCATTTTTGTCATAGTCTTTACCCTCATCTTTTGTTATTACTTGAAAATATGTGGAAATATATTCTTACAAAGGACTTTCATTTATTGTATATACATGTTCATAACAAAATATATCCCTAGAAATATATATCCCACATACATAAGGTACAGTATATAACTTATATGGTATGCCATACCCTTCAAAAATAAAGGGTTGTCTGGTATGGCAAGAAAGGAGTCTGTTACAGAAAGAAAGGCACCTGGTAATTTGATATCGCTAAGAAGCTCTTAGTAGTTATCTCTGAGACTTCTCACTTGTCCCAAGGATATATCTGGGATATTGTGTATTATCCATCCCGTTCTTTGAAATATTTATTTTTGGCATCTTGCTTACTTTAAGTTGTGTATAATTTAAATTATTTTGTTATTGTATTGTTGTGTCAAACGGTCATTAACTTTATTCAGTTATTTTTAGTATTCAGAATGTGTTTCATTAAACTGGTTTGAACTATTGCAGACAAAGAAGTCACCGTTGCCTTCTTTCAAGATCATGGGATTCTCCCATCCCAGTGAATGTGCAAGAATGGCCATGCAATGAAACTAAGCTTGAAGAAATTACAGTGGACCTGCATGAAAAAAGGAGTGTCAGCAATAGATTCAGATGTGCACTGGAACTTGGCTTGAAGGAAGTCAACTACCTCTCAACAAGATCATATACTTCTCTATTGCTGGTCTTTCAAAAAGATGTCCATCAAATTCTGCCAGCATGAACTGGAGATTGGGAAGAATGTCATGGTCGACTTCAACAATTACCTCCACGAAGTGTGCCTACAAGATAGAGCAGGAAGATGGAGCAATGATCGGCAGACCTGGACAGAGAGTAGAGATTGATGAAAGTCTCTTTTCCCAATGCAAAAACAATGCTGGCTAAATCCTTCCCCAGCAATGGATCTTTGGTGGAATATGCTGAGAAACAAAGGAATGCTTTTTGGTGCTTGTGCCCAATCGCAGTGCCAAAACGCTGATGCCCATTATCCATTCCAGAATTCGACTCGGAATGAGGATTATCTCCAACTGCTGGCGCAAATCGAAGCAGAAGGATTTGAACACCAGACAGTAAATCTTAAGTACAACTTTGTTGACTCTAAGATGCAGGCCCACACTTAGACAATGGAGAACACCTGGCACCTGATAAAGCTGGAAAACAAGAACCGTTTTGGGACCAAACACAACTTCCTCAACTCCTATATGACAAAGTCAGTGTGGCGGAGCAAGCTCCATGGCCGGGGCCCTTTCAACACAATCTTGGAGGACATCACAGGATTTTGGCCACCGAAGGAATAGTGAAGCTATTGTTAGTTGAAACTATTGTTTCTGTTGTTCACAAGTGTTGAGTTTATTAAATAAAGTTTATTGTAAAAGTTTATTTCTTGAAATTTCTGTTTCAAAGAAGGGGGTGGATAACACACAAGATCTGATACCTCTGGGATATCTTTGGGATGTAATTATGATGTGTTGGAAGTGAATGGATTTTGGATTTTCACAAAATTGATAGATAAAGTTCGAATCCTCAACTTACTTCCTAATTTTTTTTTTTTTTACATTTGGGAGAAACTTGTGATAGTAACATGATTTCATGTATATTTCATACCATCATGTCTCTAATCACCTGTGAAATATATGTCCCACCATGTACTAGACAGACATTCTAAGTCATACAGGTATCTTATCTGCTCCTATATATCTTTTACATACATACTTTTTATAAAATTATTATATGCCTTTGCCATATATGTCCATATATCATATATTATTGACTATATATATCCCATATATCATATATGCCCATTTCTCATATGGGATTTGGTAGTACCAATGAGAACATGGCACCACTGGGTGCAAATGTTTAAAAAAAAAATCTAGCTGAACAATGGGAGAAGTGTCTCAATGCCCAAAGTATTTTGAATAAACATGGCATGCATAGTCAATAGAAATTAATTGCTGTTTGTTTGACTGGCCCTAGCACTACTTTTTACAATGTATGATAAGCTGGAATGATAATATTTCAGGGATAATTTTATTTCAAAGCATGAATAAATATGCAAATTTGAGATTCTGTGTGGCCTCAAATAACATCATTTGAAATATTGGCCTAGCATTAGAGAATATGCTAAAGTCAATTTAAATCCACCTGATATAAATGTATCAGCACTCAGTTTTATAGGTTCAGTCTTGGATTCTACCGAATCTTCCTAAGCTAACCCCACTAAATTTAGTGAGGAAGGAGAGTGTCAAAAATGTATTTTCACTGGAATTAGGACTGAAAAGCTGTCATTGACCTGTCTCCTCATTTATGAAACCTCATGGAGGCTTCATAGCCTCCAAGCCCTATGCCTCGCCCTATGGCTAGCACTCCGATACTACGTATTTGATGTTTGGTCAGTCAAGGGTATCACTATGGTATGTCTATTGTTAAGCTTATGTTACAATAGGCGAGTTATATCCATCTTTTACGTTTATAGATTAAATTTAAGGTCATCCACTCTTTCCATACATTTCTTCTGAAACTATTCTTCATGTTTGAAGGAAAGATATGAGGATAAGTGATCTTCTTCAACCCC